CAACCAGTACTACTGCTTTTGTACTGCGTCCAATTATCGAACACCTTTTTCTTTGTTTCAAAGCCCCCCTCCGGCTTGCCATGGGCCCTAATATAAACTAAACTATAGGTTGAATTTTTTTTTTTTTACCTGTCCCCGGATCATCCTCATCTGATTGGTGGCGCTATGTGTCCTTGGGTGTTTATCGCTGATGTCCTGGCGGGGTTGAAGGTAAGTCAGTCAATGTGTAGTGACCACTAACCAGAGACTGCATGTCATCATAAACCCAGAAATACGGCTATCTCGGGGCAACAGGGTTGACACTCATTGATTCAAGGAGCAACGATTCAGGTGAAAATCTAAACAACTATTCAGGTGAAAATCCAAACCACTATTTAGGTGAGAAGCCAAACCACTATTCAGGTGAAAATCTTAACCACTTTTAAGGGGAAAATCCAAACCACTATTCAGGAGAAAATCTAAACAACTATTCAGGTGAAAGTCTAAACCACTATTCAGGTGAAAATATAATCCACTATTCAGGTGAAAATCTAAACCACTATTCAAATGAAAATCTAAACCACTATTCAGGTGAAAATCTAAACCACCATTCAGGTGAAAATCTAAACCACTATTCAGGTGAAAATCTAAACCACTATTCAGGTGAAAATCTAAGCCACTATTCAAGTGAAAATCTAATCCACTATTCAGGTGAAAATCTAATCCACTATTCAAGTGAAAATCTAAACCACTATTCAAGTGAAAATATAATCCACTATTCAGGTGAAAATCTAAACCACTATTCAGGTGAAAATCTAAGCCACTATTCAAGTGAAAATCTAATCCAATATTCAGGTGAAAATCTAATCCACTATTCAAGTGAAAATCTAAACCACTATTCAAGTGAAAATCTAAACCACTATTCAAGTGAAAATATAATCCACTATTCAGGTGAAAATCTAAACCACTATTCAGGTGAAAATATAATCCACTATTCAGGTGAAAATCTAAACCACTATTCAGGTGAAAATCTAAACCACTATTCAGGAGAAAATCTAAGCCACTATTCAGGTGAAAATCTAAACCACTATTCAGGTGAAAATCTAAGCCACTATTCAAGTGAAAATCTAATCCACTATTCAGGTGAAAATCTAATCCACTATTCAGGTGAAAATATAATCCACTATTCTGGTGAAAATATAATCCACTATTCAGGTGAAAATCTAATCCACTATTCAGGTGAAAATCTAAACCACTATTCAAGTGAAAATCTAATCCACTATTCAAGTGAAAATCTAAACCACTATTCAGGTGAAAATCTAATCCACTATTCAGGTGAAAATATAATCCACTATTTAGGTGAAAATATAATCCACTATTCAGGTGAAAATCTAACCACTATTCAAATGAAAATCTAAACCACTATTCAAATGAAAATCTAAACCACTATTCAGGTGAAAATCTAAACCACTATTCAGGTGAAAATCTAAACCACTATTCAGGTGAAAATCTGAATCACTATTCAGGTGAAAATCTAAACCACTGTTCAGGTGAAAATCTAAACCACTATTCAGGTGAAAATCTAAGCCACTATTCAGGTGAAAATCTAAGCCACTATTCAGGTGAAAATCTAATCCACTATTCAGGTGAAAATCCAAACCACTATTCAGGTGAGAATCTAAATCACTTTTCAGGGGAAAATCTAAACCACGATTCAGATGAAAGTCTGAACCACTATTCAGGTGAAAATCTGAACCACTATTTAGATGAAAATCTAAACCACTATTCAACGGGAAAATCTAACGGGAACAAATGCCAGAAACCTTGGTCAACTAAATAACACTATTATAATAACCTTGGTTAACTAAATAACACTATTATAATAGGGAACCTGGCAGTGTCGCAGCGATCTGGAGTCCAGTGTGGTTAGAGACATCTTTACCAAAATATTTGATAGTACACGTAACAGAAATGTCAAACCAGTCATTAGCATCATCATCATCATCAATTTCACTGCTGTCGTTAGGCAGTGGGGACAAGGAACAGTTTGTGATCCATTGATAGATGGGTAGCAATGACTACTGTCATTTCCTGTCCATGTAGAAGCTCTGTAATGTCATCATTCCATCATTTCCTAAGGCGACCTCTCGCTTCCATATCAAATCTTTTCATCTGTAGCCCCTGCCTGGGTACTTTTTCTGGCTGCATTCTTACTAGATGACCAAATCATTTGATCTTTAGTTTCTTAAAAAAATTTGCTGCATGGTTGTGTTCGGACAGTCTGTCTGACATCATTTCTAACTTTGTCTCGGATGGTTAAGTTGGTGGCTTAAACCAGTGAACATGCAAATTGCCTGGTAAAACCACATAGCACTTGAACAGAACAGACCAAGTCACAGTTTTTAGCTTACGCACTGGACACTGCAGACTCAATAAACACTCACATAAATTAGGTATGAGCCAAACAGCTCTCTGCCAGTGCCTTCGTGCTGAACAGACTCCAGAACATGTCCTGCAAAACTGTCCTCTCCTGGCGGAGCTGCGGAGTTGACATCTGTCACTAGGCAACACCCAGTAGAACTGACAACTAAGCCTTGTGGGTTGAAACCTAATCTGTCAGAGAGATAGACTCTGAAAAGTACTGTTGAATCTGTCACTAGAGATAGACTCTGTGCCTCTGTACTGTTGAATCTGTCACTAGAGATAGAAACCACATAGCAGCCTGTACTGTTGAATGTTGAGCGACTCTGATCTGTACTGTTGAATCTGTCACTGTAGACAGATGTAGACTTAGCACAGAACAGAAGGCTGTGGACAAACTTTATAAACAATGCCAAGTAGGATGGACTCTAACTCTGTCACTAGAGATAGACTCTGTGCCTCTGTACTGTTGAATCTGTCCCAGAGGACCCTTACAACATCTAGCTTGTCAAGCATCAATTCACCACCACGCGGCAGACCACGCGGCAGACCACGCGGCAGACCACGCGGCAGACCACGCAGAAGGTGGACCACGCGGCAGACCACGCGGCAGACCACGCGGAAGGTGGACCACATAATTGTCAAAGGCACTAAAAGATTCTTTAAAGAAGCAAACAAAAGGACCCGTTCCAGAGATCTGTTTCTGCCCTGACGCATCAAAGCATTCCAGCAGTAGAAAAAAAAACAGACCAGAGATGACTAAATCTGGTCACTTTAGGTTGAGATGCAATCCTGTAAATATGGATGTATGACTATGTCTGCAGTGACCGCAAAGTACAGTTAAATTCCATTGGTTCTTTGTATGCTTGTGGGATGTTTAATAGGCCAGGATATGAGTATAGTATCTAAACATAGCATTTAGAGGAGGTTTTTCTTATGAACTCAATGGCTTTTTTAAAAGCCAAGTTGATGTCAAATTTTCCCATAAGCCTCATTGATAGATGTAATGCTGCCACAACATGAGTGACCCAATACATTTTTTTTAGGCCAGTGATAATGTGTTCCATTTAATGCTTTATTTTTTTTTTCTGCCTGGTGCACTAGCTGAGTTGGTTAAACCAGCTGCGCGGCTACCGGGTGACAAACTTCTTGTGGTCCGAGTTCACGCTTGGCGATTAGGCAGAAAAGCCACATATTTCCCAGATTTACGGTACCTGTCATGGAATCAAGGCCACAGGGTTGCTGTAAGAAATCTGGCTCAATTTTAATATAGCTCGTTTACTCTGGAACAAATATAGCTTTCAATAACTGATAACACTGGAATACTGATCAAATTCCCATATACATTACCAGTTTATTTCTTCTATTCCATCACAATTATTTACTCAACGTTGACTACACTTAATTCAAACTACACTGATGACATCACGACTGTCTTCTTTCAACTCTGGTACACAACTGACCACGAGTCAACCTTGGACTTTTCCTTGTTTACCTTTCCAGCCCCAAGTATCTCATTTGTGGCACGGATTTTCTGCTTAACTTGCTAGAGCGTGGAGACCATGCAAAGCAGAGTCATCACACCCGCCATATCCATAGTTCCAAGCCAACCAGTTTACAATTCATGGTTTTTGGGTTAAACAAATTATATGCTAGACTCTGTTCTTGTTTATTGATTACCCCTGTATCTTATATATTCCAAGAAAAAATTTGAAAATGTAAATGATTAAATTTGTAAAAATTAATTGTGATCTATGTAGTATGATGTTTTTCTGACTTATTTACTTATTTACTTAGTCGCTCCTCTTCTACTTTGGGGTATAGAGGTTTGTCAGAGAGATTGGCAGACTTCTCTATCAGCAGTGTTTTTGTTGTCGTTCCATTCTAGTCCTGATGTTGTCTTCCCAGCGGATTTTCTCCCATTCTGCATACACGTTAAAACCATCGTAACTGTGACTGATCCACTTGTGTTTGTTTGGCCTGGGTTTCAAGATCTCGACATATTGTCTGCGAACTGTCTCCCTTCTTGTCGCTTTGAACCACTTTCTTTCTCAGATATCTAATTTTTGAGGCCTGTGAGCTGTTGTCATTGCCCATGACTCACACTCATAGACTGGCACATAGGTGGAGCGGTAAACAGCCATTTTCATCCTCTTGCCAATTTGTGCTAAGAAACCCTCGAATAATGGCTGGTAAAAGTCTCCCAGCAGCTGCTGTATTTCTTTTAAGGCTTTTCTCCAAACATTTCGACAGGTAAATGACCCTTTTTAAAAAAAAAGTATTTGCAGGATGAAAGGGTTAAAAAGAAGATAAATTCTTCTTCTTCTTCTTCTTCTTCTTCTTCTTTCGTTTGCTTGAAATAGATTATCTATATCTGCAATGTTGTCTCTAGTATGAACTTCACTAAGTTTTGCCTTGATATGTTTGGGACAGTCTTGGAGAACTTGATTTTTTTGTTGTCTCAGATGCCAATCTACATGTGCAAATGGCTGATTCACCGATTTTAAATTTAGAAGATAAATTAATTGTTTGAACAAAATTTATTGCAAATTCTTTTATTCACCTTTTATCCAGGAATTTAAATTTTTATTTTCTTTCAGGCATGGCTGGATTTTTTGCTGCTGTTGTATATGGAATCAGAAACTATAAGAAAAGACCCAAAACGATGACTTTATCCATGTACATAATGCGGTTCCGAGTGTTTGCCCAGAGTATAGCTGTGGGAGCCATGGGCCTGGGCATTGGCTATGCAATCTTGAGGGAACAGTTCAAACCCACAGAAAACCCTGAGGAGGCAAAGAAGAAGAAAACCTAACTTTGTTTTTATGCTTTAAAAAATATATATTGTATAGCTTTGATAAAGGTCAGTGGTGGATTGTGGGTGGTCACTGTAGAACTAAGCTTTTTGTTTCAGATATGTGCGCATTTGCAATATAGTTTGAACATAGTTTGTGGCTGTTTTCACACATGTCTGAGATAAGAAGCTGCAGTGCAGTGCCTGTCCACATGCAACCACTAATAAAGATGAATGCTGTTGTTGACATTTTGTCAGACTGGAAACAATATTTGGGCAAAACTTTTAACTGCGGCCCCAAGGAACGCAGTCTACTGTAAGTTATTAATGCTTTAAATGCCTACCCTAAGGGATGTAATCCATTGTTTGAATAAGGTGACATAATGTTAGTTAGTTAGTTAGTCAACAGATTATCATCATTGCACATCGAACCACTCAGTCTGTAAGTGCTCGACCCCCAAGTTAATCCTGCAGCGAGTAAGCGACTGATGACACAAGTTCTATGTAGGTTTATTATTCTTCTCTGGCTACCCACATAGTGTTCTTGTTTGATGACACCCCGTTTTACTTGCTGTTCTTGCAATCTGACCATGGTTGCAGATTCACAGTTCTCAATTGGTTCACGCAAACGTCTCAACTCTCATAGAGCATTCAGTATATCAGCCTGGTTCATGGCTTGTCCCGCTTTCACAGTAGCCTCACCTGCAAGTCTATCAGCATGCTCATTTCCTTGCACCCCCTCATGTCCTGGCAGGAAAATGAAACTAATCTTTGTCAGCCGTGAATGCTGGTGAGCCACCAACCACTGCCTTCGGACCCAGCCCTTCTCTGTCTCTCTGGATAAACTAGCCATCCCCTTGTGGGACCCAGTTTTTCATTATTTTTAAGCCCCACCTTGGCACTTTGTGTCATCGGGTGTTTATCGCTTGTGTGATGTCCTAGTGGGGTAAAATGTACTACTACGAATTCTCTTATCTTCCTGAGCATGCTCATTGAGTCACTGAGAAAAGTTGATATATGAGTATTATTGAATATTGTTTGAGGTTTGGGTTAGGGTTAGATTTAAGACCAACTCTAACCCTGCTATACCTCTAACCCAGACCTGAAGGAATATGAAATATTACAGAACATTATAATCTGAACGTACACAAACAATGAATTGTGTTCCTAATAGTTGCCATAAACAAACAATAGATTGCATCTCTTAGAATCACCATTTAAAGTATTGCTTGTTTCCTGCTAGTATTTACACTGGGATTTGTGATAATCTGTTGAATTTAGTGTTAGAGACTTGATCAGTTCTGGATGTTTTTGTTTTTGTTGCTGTAAAGGTACACGCTCAGTATTTTATTGTCTTCAGCTGTAGATTCTGAAACAGAGCATATTTGTTTGAAGATTTTATAGTGCATTGTGTTCATAGTATGTTGTTTGTTAGTTGTTGCATGTATCCTTTATAGAACATTGCAGAACCTCCCCCTGCATTTTTGGGGCTGTTTTATTAGGTAATTTTACTTTTAGTAGTTTGCCATTGTCCTGAATGGTCAGCTCTCCATACCATTGTCAATACAGCGCAAGAAAGTCTATCAGTAAATTGTTGTTCATTATAAAAGTATGGTAACCTGATAAAAATTGTCATTTTTCTGTTCTTCCAGTTAGGTTCTAATAAGAAACACTTTATATCAAGCATATTAAAAAAGGGGGGTTGGAAAGAACAGAGAATCACTAAACTGGCAATGAAATAGGGAACAAATAACTTGCAGAAATGAGGATACCCAAGAATGAACAAATGAACCAGTGAACTTTATTTTCTAAGGGTCACAAATTGGGCACGCAGGCCCATCTTACATTCAGCCCTTCCAAACACCCTCTTTCACAAAGCAGTTGTATTTTATCAATAAAGCATGTCATGTTGATGTAATAATATGCATATTATGAATATCAAGGAAAGAAAACATGGGTGATAAAATGCATATGCACACTCAGGCACACATCCACCCATTCACTCACTTATACACATGCATACATACACATTCACATGCATACATACACACCCACATGTATAGACACCCACATGCATATGTACACACCCACACGCATGCATACATAGACATCTATACTTTTATACATGCACAGTATGAACAGTGCCGAGGCACACCCACATGACACCCACATACACACCCACATACCACCCACATACACACCCACACGGCACAGATACATGCACAGATCATTACAGTCTATGGAGAACGGCACTGCAACGAGTTACGAGCGGATCTGACCGGCGCTCAACTTTCAGGGGGAAGGCAATACGGATATACAATCAGACAGTTGCTAGTACCATTGGAATTTTTAACTCTTCGTTTGCTGCTGAAGATGGGGACTGAGTGCTTATGGAGGTGTCCCGAGTTCTGTGATGTCGATTCTTAATTCTGTCCCCCCCCCCCCCCCCCCCCCCCCAAAATGAGATCTCAAAACCCACATAGGAAGTATTTTCCAGTATAGAAAAACAGGTTTCCAGATGAATAGATCACTGTGCCATTTAAAAAATTGATTTAGGGTAGGCTATTGTTGATATGTTACCTGTCAACTTTAAGTGCCATGCATTTATGTTATGTATTTACTATTTATTAGGAAGTTGCCTGCTGACTGCCAGGCTGACTGCCTGACTGACTCGCTGTCTGACTGGCTGACTGACTGACTGACTGGTGGACAGACTGACTGACAGACTAAATGACAAACTGACTGACTGACTGATTGGCCGACTCTCTGGCTGACTGATGTTAACCCCACCAGGACTGCACAGCGAGCGATAAGCACCCAGTGACACAAAGTGCCACTATTCAGATGAGAATCACATGGTTGCATGTCCCAGAAACTGCTTTCGACCTGCAGGTTATATTTAGGGCTCCCTCACAACAGACAGAGGTGGGGCTTTAAAATAAACAAACATTATGTCCCACATTGGGACGGGGGATAACAGCTAGCTGCACACTTACCTGCTAACCTGAATTGTTTTGGTTTGATTCCATATCAGAACACAATTACATTTAGAACTCTTCACTTGCTGCGGAAGATGGGGACGGAGCACCTATGGGAATGTCCAAAGTGCTGTGATGTTGATTCTCAATTCAGCATTCAACTTAATCCATATCAGACCAGATTAAAATTAGTCCTAATGAATGTCCCGGGAAGGGCAAATGGTCAGCACCGTGTTGATCACGTCACCCATTAAGAGCTGATTGAATTTATTCACCATTTGCCTGAGCTAGAAAGTGCCATTTACTTTTAATAGGGTTGTTTTTTCTGGTCTTGTACAGTACCGGCACTTTTTAAGGATTCTTGTGTGTGTGTGTGTGTGTGTGTGTGTGTGTGTGTGTTCAGCAGTACTGTAATAGACACTGAGTGGTGAGTACTGGTAATCTGTTGTTGTTTTGTTAAAGACTTTTTGTAGTAAGTACAGCACATTTTCCTAGGGAAAAAGCCGAAATTTTACTAATTATAATAAATACAGCTGATGTGGAATTCAAGGATAAACCACTGAACTATGTGAATTGAGAGAAAGAATAAATGCGTAAAAGAAGAACAAATTTGTTGAGTCATAATTATTGTTAAAGCAGCCATCATCTCAGTATCAGTGCATTGTAAAATTGAACACAGAAGACATAACCAACAGCCTGCACATGGTGCCTTAGGAGTTAAACTAGTAGCCTCACAATGGAATGGGCTGTAACAAGGGCATAAGCATGGTTGGTACACACGCGTGCATTCTTGATGCCTCAGTGAGTATGATTTCTTCTTCTTTGCGTTCACCAGCTGTAAACTTTTGCAGAAAGTTCTGGTTGTTCAAACACTTCTGGACTTTAGTCTTTGTTCCAGAATTTCAATTTTGCATGCACATCTATTTTACAGATTTGGCTTGTTTGTATGCAGACTGTTGGTTCTTTGACTCTCAGGCAGATGCACTCCGATATAGGAGGAAATACCCCTAATTTGTCAACTTCCATGAGGTGCTTGCTAGAAGATTGGGGGGGGGGGGGGGGGGGGGAGGTTGGGTCTTTAATTTGTTTCCCTACAATGAAACAAGAGAACCTGACAGGGATGTTGTGTCTAAAGTGACAAGACTCTCTGTGGGGCACCATCTTGTTGTAACTTTGACACAGATGTCCGAACCATTTGCTTGGTTGTCTCTTGTCGTGGTTTATGAACAACCAGAAGCAGAGCTAAAGGTCAACAACATGAGCCAAGAATAGATGACTAATCCAAGACCAAGTGGAGTAAAGCGAGTGGAAGACCTCGGAAAATATGAAGTGATGGCATTAAGAACAGCCTTACAGAAATGAACATCAGTCTTAATAGTGCTCTTGACAGAGATCATCAACGAGTTTTACATCTCCCCCCGACACTTCGATGAGGTACTTCTTCTTCAGCGATCTCTGGTCATGCGCATAATCCACTGTGGGTCATAAACTGGGATGTCTTTTCAAGGTCTCTTAGGTTTCCCCAAAGCTTAGTTGTCAGTTCTACTGGGTGTTGCCATATGTCACTCCGCAGCTCCGCCAGGAGAGGACAGTCTTGCAGGACATGTTCTGGAGTTTGTTCAGCACGAAGAGGCAGAGAGCTGTTTGGCTCATACCTAATTTATGTGAGTGTTTATTGAGTCTGCAGTGTCCAGTGCGTAAGCGAAAAACTGTGACTTGGTCTGTTCTGTTCAAGTGTTTCAGAAAATCTTTTTCGTAGTTAAAACCAGTGTTGTTTTTCCAATCTGTTTCTGATTTTCTCTTAATGAGAGTTTTGACTTCTGGAAAAGATAGTGGCTGTGGTTTGTTACTGCCTTCCTTGGCTAAAGCATCTGCGCTTTCATTGCCTTTGATGCCACAGTGTGACGGAATCAACTGCAAGTGAACGATGAGGTACAAGCTGGAAGAGAAGAAGAAGATCCAAGACCGACTCTATCTGACGGGCCTTGCTGCCGACGCCACCAAACTTAATGATACGTTAAGTTTTCACTCTGTCAGTCCCGT